ATTTTGTCAGTGGTGCTCCTCCCTGGTGTTTGGCCCAGCTGTGAATCTCACACAGTACGGAACATTGTAATCTGGTAACTCAGTTGTGGATTGATGTTTAGTGCTGAGCTCGAACTTATCGATGAACTGAAGACCAACGCGCTGCTGCGTTTTGAAACATAAATAATACTTCTGAAAACATTCTGAAAATGACAGCGCAGCTTCATCCAAGTGACCGCCATCTATTTGTTCTGTGTCTTCATACGCAACTGTTTCAACTATTTCTGTCAAACTATCGCTGAGCAAAGAGTCTGTGATGAAACCAAAAGGCTTTGTTTTGCAGTTTGTGTAAGCAAAGATTGTACTATTTACAATTTATATGGTTGAATCATCCTTTAAAGATGCGAGATCCCGGAGGGGATGGTCAACAAAGGTCCCACTAGATCAGCCAACGAAGCAATGAGAGGACGTCAGTTTATCCATTTTTATATTTGCCTCATTAGAGAATTAAGAGGATTCGGAGCATTTCAGGATTTGTGTTTGTTTTAAATCTTTCAACTCTGACTGAACTTTAAATTCCCTTGAAGCTTCCTGTTGAATTAGTAGAAATGTCAAGATGCCGTGACCTCTGACCCCAAGCTTCCTTGTCATTGGTAGTTTGAGATGACTTAGTTTTGCAGGTTTTTTCTGTCTCTCCTACAAAATATCTTGATTTGGAAGTCTATAAATACAATTACTACAATAAGATTTAAAAAATATGTACTCGTAGTCTTTACGAGAAGCCTTAATTTATAAATATCTAGTGTCCTCTCAGATCTTCCATGAATTTTAAAGGAGCACTTTGCATAATAAACTGCAATTTGAATTTTGGAAGACTACATTTTTCCGTCCCACTTATCACATAATGAGCAAAGCAATATCATATATTTAGATGCAGTTCTCCGGAAAATGGAGATGAAGCAGTGTGAAAGTCTCTTTTTTTGTTCCGTGCAAAAAAGTATTCCAAAATTGATCTTGTTGTTGTTTACATTTATGCAGATCGTGTTGGGGGCGTGGCCTCAGGGGGAGGCCTGCTCGCTTGCTTTAACAGTCACTGGTTATTCCACACATTTCATGACCTCGAGTTTTGTCTCTTTAACGCTAATGGTGCGTATGAATGTAACGGGGGCTTTTGGTACATTTGAGCCATGGGGGCTGTGAATGCCTTCCTTCACATGTAATCTCCAGTATGAGGGCTGTTTGTCTCTCTGTCCGATCGGGTTACACGGCAGCATGTTCCCCTAATCACTCACTTTCAGTGCTGCTGAACTAAACTGCTGCTAACGTTAGTCATTATCGCGCAATAATATTCAGACTGTGATGCTTTATGGAAGAGATTCTGAAGTGGAGACACTCATCAAGAGCATCAAGAAGGCAGACTTTGAATCCCCTTTGGTTCTCTTTTTCAAACCACGCAGCTACAGAAGTTCTAGTCCAGCTTCATCCGTCCAGCGCTCTCTCAAACTGCAGGAACCTGCTTCAGTTTCTGGATCCACAGACGTGACAGCCGACCGCAAGGAGGTCAGAGGTCAGCGTGCATGTTTTATTCACCACTGCGGCTCCAATTGGAAGGAGGTGAGTCTATGTGACTCCCCCCAACAAACTGGGATGATACGATTGTGAGACGGATTATTAAATCCATAAATCAGCTACTCGGACGGAGAGTTTTCTGTCTTATTGTCCAGAATGACTCACTTACAGAAGCAGAATGAAGCTCTCTGATCGGTGTGCTTGCTGGGGGAGGGAAAGCGTCATACATATTTATACATGATGCATGTGTATTTATTAATGGGCTGAAAGGTGGAACCTGTATCATTTAATATTCATCGTGCAGACGGGGGGATTTCAATCTTCTACTTCTAAATCTACGATTTTTGCAGAGTTGAGACCCGCTGTTTGATAGCTGATGTTTAACAGACACTACTTAGCGATGGCTGCAACATTACCGCCATGTTTTTGTGCACCGTTGGATTTAAACATTAAGGCATTTATTGTGTAAAAAGGAAGTATAGTTCAGCTTGAGCCCGACAGTCAGTAAGAGTCCATCAGCTGCTTGACATCTACATCCTGTCCAGTTTCCAGCTGGTCCGTCCTGAAGGGGTTTAACAGGAGAGCGCTGTGTGTGTGTGTGTGTGTGTGTGTGTGTGTGTGTGTGTGTGTGTGTGTGTGTGTGTGTGTGTGTGCGCTGACAGAGTGTAAAAGTGAGTTCCTGCAGGGGACAGGACCGGTCCAAACGCTCAATCTCCGTCACTTATCGGTCCTGCAGGGCTCAACATGTCGTCACTGTCAAAAAGAAACGCAGGACTCAAGTCTGCTGATTCACATCTTCTGCTTCCAGAAACTCTTCTGGTCCTCCATGGTGTGTTTCTTTGATTGGCACATTGAGTCGGTAACTTACGTACGTGGGTGTCTCCGTTTTCTGCTACTTTTTATGTCCACGTCACTCTTGTACTTCTGTCACATTATTTGACAGCGCGTAAAGTCAGTAGTTATAATAAAGGAATAATAAATAAATAAAATAATCTGTATTATTCTGAAAAGGTTGGTTGTTTTAAACCAAATGTACAGCCTATCACAGATTAGATTCATCCTATTTTTTTGGCCAACCTTAATTCTCGCTGGTTTTGGGAAACTTGAATTGCTTCAACATCTACAAAACACAGAACTTCATCTCTAAATATTCACCAAAGCCTTCCAGTGTTTTGAGGAATAGCATCGAAATAATGAGGTCACTTAGTCCATTGACAACCAAACTAATGAACTACAAAGCCATTCATTGTTTCAGCGGTTTAATAAAAAAGGCCCCACCTTCAGAAGGTGTTTTACCTTCAGCTGCTGACTATTGATATGGTTCTACAGACGAGGGGATGAAGGATCCAAAAAGAAGCACAAAGATATTATTGAGTAGCATAAAGCACCATGCGGGAACCATAAAACCACAAAGACGGGCCGTGGTTTTTGGAAGCGGGATCTCCAAGTGGGAGTCCTGCTGGTTTGCTTCCAGTCTGTGGTGGGTGTGACATCACTGGGGAACAAAACCACGTCACCACGCACCCTCCCCCGTCTTCTCGGGCCCGCCCCAGCCGCCGTAGTGGGCTGAATGGTTACGCTGACCTAAATTCTCCCAGAGCGAGTCCTCTTAAAGCTGCAGAGACAGACTGAGGAACTGAGACGGATTGCAGACTGAGACCACGAGACAGACCGGTGGACGAGCAGAGACACGGACTGTGACTGGATGAGAGCACGGGCAGAGACCGAGAGACGGAAAAGACAGACCGGACGGAGCCTGGACAAAGACAGAGGCTGACAGAAAAGGGACTGGGACACACACGGACAGATACACACTGACAGGGGCTGAGAGACAGACGGATGGACAAGGAGAGACACAGAGACAGGGATGAGAACGCGGGCAGAAAAGAGAAGGACAGACTGGGCAGAGGCTGACAGCACTGAGACAAAGACAGAGACTGACAGACAGAGACTGGGAGACACACAGACAGACACACTGACAGGGGCTGAGAGACAGACAGATGGAAAAGCATGGACAGAATTGAAGACGGACATGAGAACAGACTGAGAAAAGGACGGAAAGACAGAGACTGTGACAGACAAAGACATGGACAGACAGACAAATGGACGAGCAGAGACAGGGATAATAACACAGACAGAAAAAGAAAAGGACGGACCAGCAGAGACAGACAAACACGCAGAGACACTATTATTATAACTATTTCACCACTTCTTCTTCTTGTCTTTGACGTGTTTTATAACTTACCACAAAACTTCTTTAATAGTAGGATTATTTTTTTCAATAACTTATTGTGCAGATCATGAAACATGTTTTACACGACTGGTAATTCAAATCTTGATTTGTTTATTTTATTTTCTCATTCATTGTCCATTATAATAAAGTGGTTGGGCTGTCTTATAAGTACATTTAAACACGGTTTCTTAAATCAAAAAATATAAATCACATTTCTATTGAATGGACCATTGGCACATTTGTGTCTTTATTGTAACTCCAATATTTTTACAACCATGGAAGGACTTCAAGCCATTATAGGAATATTAAATGTGTATTGTACTGGTTTAAACTTAATTTCGGATAATTCAAAACATTTACAACACTTTCATGTATTAAATGTTGTGCCACTGAGACCGGAAACAGCCTCATCATAACTTATTATGAGAGTCTTACAGAAAGCTGCACACAATAAAGAAATTTATGATGATCCAAAAAACAGATAAAAATAACAGATAAAGATAACCGATAACTCGTCCGACAATCAAGTCTGAAGATAAGGAATCAAACTGCAGAACGAAGGCCTCTAAATATCTAACAAAAGATAATATTGTGACACTTTTCCAAACTGACGTCCTATTATCAACTGAAAAATACAAAGCTATGAAAAGATAATAGTCTGAGTCTGGTCCTGAATGAGTAGTTTGTATTAAGGGGAAGAGTCAGACACCAAAAACGCAACAAGGATACGTGAAGCTTTCAACCTTTAATATAAATCATCCTGCAAGTAAACCTAAAATTCAAATTAAGTGTTCTGATGAAAAAGTCCATTAATTCATGATGCAATTGTTTCCTAAGTAAAGCACAGCATAAAATATGCTGCAATATATTTACCGGCAATAAAAGTTATTTTTAAAAGTCTTCTGTAATAAAAGTTACCTTTAATAAAGTAAAATAGTAAGTAATTAAAAGGCTTCCATTAATCAAAACCACATGCCCTTCAGGCAAATATGGATAAAAGAAAAATGCAAATACAAAACAATAAACAAAATGCCAAAAAAGTCTATTAAAAGAAATAAGTTAAATGAATTATCAGGACTTGGAGGAGAAATTGGTTCTGGTTCTGTAAAAGTAATTGTTCTTATTTAAAAGAAGAGAAAGTAATTATCAGTATTTTTAATAACATTTCAAGAGCGTAAGGTTTTCATTCCTCTTCACATCATCAGGCAGAAACTCTGCGTCGGGTTATTTCATCATTTTTAATCAAGTTTAGTTTTTCTGAAAATCAAACAAACGAACAGACAGCAACAAAAACAAACGGTACAGACTTTGTACAAGTGAACACTAACAACACAAGTGGGAAAAAAAGAAGGAAAACGTAAAAAAAAATGTACAAAACCAAAATGAAAAACAGTGACATGGTGCAAATTCAAAAAAACTCAACCTGTATCAGTTTGCAACAGTTTGTCTTCTTCTGCAATCTCTTAATACCATAATTCAATATTTAATTTTTTTGTGCTTTTTAATTTTACCCCCCCACCCAAAAAATGTTCTATGTCTACCAGTATGTAAAATGTGTGTGTGTGTGTGTGTGTGTGTGTCAAGGTCAGCGTCTGTTTGGGCTTTAGGAGGCTTTTATTTTGGTCAGAGGTTGCATAAGTATTTTCTGCCTTTCACGGTAAAGAATAGCAGTAAAATGGGTAGAAAGCAGCTTGTGTTTGCTGTCATGCTCAGCTGTTTGAAATATCAACAGAAACATTCACAAGGAGTCATTGAGATCAATTAGAACTAAAACCAACATGCGGGTTGTTTACAGTCCAAAGATTTTACTTATTTATGCAATAAAAGGCCCCAAACTGAATTAATAATCAATTTATTCAACAATGCAGTTTAATATTATCAACAGTACCAGTGGATTTTAGCCTTAAGTTTAAACTTAAACCTCTAACAAGTAGAATAATTCACATAGAAATGTCCTTTTTTGCATTAAATATTGACATTTTATTGATGAACGGGCATCACAAGCAACCCTTTTTTTCAGAAATCAACATCATCTGCAGCATCATGTTCTGTACCGGAACTTCTGTTTGCTTTTGTTTTTTGCAATGGGAACGTTTATTTGATCCGGATTGTTTTTCAGAGCTCACTGACCTGAGATCTGTGGACGGACCGTTCAATAACGCAGTGATCGATGCTTTGATTGTCAAACGCTGCTCATTCGCTGTGCTTATGGAAGAAAAAAAACAGCACGAACAAGAGGATATTTCTTCTAATGCAGTCACAGGATTCTGTCCCCTTTGTCTAGAATTATGTTCGTAAACAGCCAGGAAGAGATCTATATTTCATTTGTTCATTTGATTTGAAGTGTGGGCTATAATACTGAGTAGGAAAAAGTAATGCAACTCTACAAATTAGAATCATTGTTGTTATTGTTTCATTAGTTTATCATTCATGTGAATACTGACTAACTTGCACCAAATAATAATTGCATTGAATAATTGAAAGAAAAAGTCAGTTTGAGCCCAAAAAAAAAAGAAAATTCTCATAACCACCTCCAAATGAACATGACTGAAGAAATGCATATAATATTCAGTACGTTAATTTATGTTCTAAAATTAACCAGAATTCTTGCAACAAATGAAATAAAGTTAAAATCAAGTTTGAACAAAGCAAAATGAGACAGAAATATGTTTCACCTTTAACACCGTCTTGTCTCTTCACTAAATGCTCCGTTTCCTTTATATCGGCACAAGAAACATGAATGAACATCAGATTGTCCCCCCCCGGAAGTCAGCTGATGCAGGTTTCCGGACGCCATTGAAGCCCGAGAGGTGTTTGTTGGATTATTTCGGGATATTGTCGCAGGAGGCTGAAAACCTCCTCAGTGTGCTGATTTATATTTAAATAAGTTGACGGACTCCTCTGCTTTAAGAGACCCTCAAAAATATAACCAACCCCCTTCAGCCAATTGCATTTAAATTAAATTAAGCTTAAACTGAGTCATCTGTGGTGGAAGTGTATGAGAAGCGAAGGTGAAGCACAAACATTTTATCCAGCTGGTATTTCCAACAATGAGTCATAATCATTCAAATGCATGTTTTTCTTTTCAGTCTCTAACACAAACGTGGTATTTTGGATGGATGGTATTTTGGAGATTTTTCAGCTGTGTGTGTGTGTATTTGTGTTGTTGTGTATGTGTGTGTGTGTGTGTGTCTGCGCGTGTATCAGGAGCCGCTCCGTTTGTTTCTCCCCCCCCCCGCCGGAAAACTGCATGAAATACTGTGCGGAGTCCACTTTAAAAATGTCCCCGGAAACAGTAGCAGGTCAGCTGGTCCTTCAAAGCGGAATGGGGAATAAATTGTAGTTTTTTAAATTTTTTATTAATGAAATAGTTTGTACAGCGGCTCTGAGTGCACATGCGCAGGAGTGTTTACGCTCATACTGCCCTGTGCACACACACACACACACACACACACACACACACACACACACACACACACACACACACACACACACACACAGGCCTAATCGAACCGAGACTGAGTGAAGTGAAGAGGACAATCTGGGATTTGACGATGAACGGAAAACATACAAAAATTCGTGTTAAAACCGCGTTGTTTTGCATAATAATAATAATAAAGAGTATTATTCCAAAAACATTTATATCCAATGAAATGTATAGCACTAAAAACTAGTAAGGGCTCAACTAGATCCCTGCTGTATTGGAGAGTGCGTTTTATTTTTAGTTTATTATTATCTTGGAAGGCGATCTTCACATTCAGCATTTTTCTTGATTATTTGATTATTATTTTTATTGTTATGCCTGTCCGGGGTCAAACCTGAGTATATATATGATTTGTAGGCTTGTTTCCTCTGAAAACCCCTGATTGTTTCTGCTGATTTTAAGGCTTAACTTATTCATTGTTAACTTATTCAAAGGTTTTGATTGTCATTGTTCCTCCTTGATTGTCTCAAAATTCATAAATAATTATTAACCCTGTATGTCCTGTTTCACCCCCCCCCCCCCTCCCATTTTCCTCAATACTGATAAGTATACACTGACAAATAGAATTTAAATACATTGTACAATAAATACAAAACATAAATAAAAGACTCAAACCAAGTACTGAAAATCTTTGTACAAGATATAAATAGCTTGAAATATACTTAAAGCGTTACCTTTGGCAAGTCTAGTTTACAGTTGTACAACCCGCGGGTAACAAAAGTTTGTCCCTTTTTTTTCAAACAATTTCCAAAAGAATCCTTAAAAATAAACCCGTTACTCTTCGGGGTGAAATATGGCCCAAAAAAAAACAAAGGTTCACTTCATATATATCTTTTGTGTTCAATAATTGATATTTACCACTTATTATTTCCCCGTAACATGACGTCTCTTGTGCGTCCTCGTCCCGGTGCCATCCTCTGTTTAGAGGTGGAGATGGGAGGGGAGGGGAAGGAGAGGAGGGGGTCAGTTTAGGAAAGCGTTTGGAGTCACCCTCTTTTGATGGGAAAGCACCCCGGGGAACCCCGCGGACATGCCCGGGGAGAAGGCCGATAGGGAGCTATTTCTGAGGGAGTCCGACAGCAGCGACTGCGGGGAGCTGCTGGTCGCCAAGCTGCCGAAGCCCTGCGCGCTCTGCTGGAGGTGCGACGGATGAGGACCGCCCGGTCCTCCCCCCGGTTGCCCCGGGGCCGCTGCGTGTTGGCTCCCCGGGACGAAATAGCCGCCGCTCTGCCCGGACAGCAGCCCGACCGGCGACGTGCTCATCCCGTAACCGTTCGTCAGGCCCAGCGCGCCCGCGGCCGACCCGCCGAGAATGGAGCGCCCCAGGTCCCCGTTGCTCAGCGGCTCCACCCCGGGCAACAGAGAGCCGTAGCCGGCCGCCTGGTTCAAAAACCCGGGCGAGGAGCCGTTGTAGTGCGGGTGGTGGTGGTGGTGGTGGTGCAGGGAGAGGAAGGGCGAGATCTGCCAGTACAGCGGGTTGCTCGCCCGCTCGTTAATCCCCAAGCCGAGAGGAGCGAAGCGCAGCCCGCGCTTCATGGCCAGCTTCCCCCGGGAGGTGGCGGAGCGCCTGCGGAGCTTCCCGGTCGTCCCTCCGATGAAAACGTCATCGCTGCTGGGGTCCAGCATCCAGTAGTTGCCCTTCCCCGGGTCGTCGTAGTGCCGCGGCACCTTCACGAAGCACTTATTGAGGCTGAGGTTGTGCCGGATGGAGTTCTGCCAGCCCTGCTTGTGTTCCCGGTAGTACGGGAAGTTTTTCATGATGAACTCGTAGATGCCGTTCAGCGTGAGCCGCTTCTCGGGGCTCTGCCGGATGGCCATCATGATCAGGGCGTTGTAGCTGAACGGAGGTTTGTCGTATTTCCCGTTTTTCCCGCTGTTATTGCCGCTAGTGTTCTGCTCCGGGGCGGCTTTGGCGCCCTCCTCCTCCTCCTCCGCCTCCTCCTCCTCCTCTCCCCCCTGCTCCTCCTTGGCCGGCTTCTCCGGGTCCAAACCCGGAGCCGCGGGGTCCACCTCCGGCGGGTCCAGCGACTTCTCCGAGTCGGAGCCCGGGGTTGGAGAGAAGCTCCCTGGGACGCAAACGACCGCGGCGGCGGCGGCGGCGACGTGGTCCGGTCTGTCGCACTTTGACGGAAGCAGGAGGCTCTTGATGCTGAAGGAGGAGGACCGGTGGACGGTCGGCGGGTCTTTTACATCCTCCATGCCCGGTGGCGGCTCTCCCGAAAACGAGGAATAAATGATAACAATAAAAAAATAAAATAATAATAATAACAACAACAACTCCGAGCTCCTCCACCTCCGTTATCCGGGCTGGAAACGAAAGAGAGACAGAGAGGAGAGAGAAAGCAGGGTCAGGATGAGAGATGCATGGATGGACGAGTGGAGAGAGAGAATAGAGAGGAGGGAGAGAGAGGGGGGAGAGAGAGAGAGAGAGAGAGCGCGTGGTCTCTCGATGTAGAGAAATTAGTAATTAAGGAGGTTCCGACTCGCAGTTACATCACGGAGAGGAGGAGCTCCTTCAACTTGCCGATTTTATTATTATTCTTCCTCTCCGTCCTCCCGTCTCCAAAGTGCGACTCCTTCGACCTTTGGCGTCATTTCTATCTGCTCTCTGTAAGCCGTCTCCTTTCGGTATTTACGCGCGTGCGCCTCAACCTAAAGTCGTTCATGTGACCGCGCCGTGCGTCGCGTACCCTTCCTCTCCGCGCGCACGTGTGCTCAAAATCCCATTCCGGGGTTGTGCGTAAAAGCGCACGTCTCCGTGCGCGCCCCCCCCTCTCGTGCGCGTGCGTAAGAGCTCTGGGACTCCGCGGCTTTGTTTTCTCAACGACGGTAACAGTTTGAGTTCATGTCGGCAAACACAGACGCGCACGCTCAGTGTGCGCTCATGTGTGTGGTTTAGGGGAGAGAGGAGGGGGAGGAGGGGGGACGCAGCGAGCTCGCCGCTATCGTGTACTCATAACAATCATTCTGGAAACACGCACACACACAGACACACACGCACACACACCCAGAGGCGGCGGGTCGGACGCTGTGACCGGAGCGCCTCCCTCCGGCAGCAGTCGGCACTGCACACCACGCGGGCCGCTTTATTCTCTGACCGGTGTGTGTGACCAAACTGTTAATGACAGTATAACATGTAATATAGGAAGAGTAATAGTAATAATGATACCTATTGGGGGGGGGGGGGGTTGTATATTGTAATCCAGCTTGTTCTGCAGAATGTCCCTTAATAAAACTGTTTTTACTGCATGAAATGATTCATATTCTCTATCATCTTGGTCCAGATCTTAAGTGAAGCTAAAGCGTGTTAAAACTGACTCAAAGAGGTGTTATTGCGGCCATTGAAGGCACTGGAGTCATTTTACTTCTACAGTACGACTCAAATTACACTTGTCTTTATACAAAACTGTACGTTACATGAAAATGAAATGGGGAGTTTTTAATCTTTTAAAATTATAATGTATTTAATAAAACATTAATTCTGTCAAAACATCATTCTGTCGTATAATTTTCCGTGTCTAAAACATGTATGTATGTATCACTCTGTCTGTGGGAAGAACAAAAGGTGAATTTCAAAAATAGAAAAATAGAGTCTGCAGGGCCGTCAGCGGCGCGTCCTCTGCGCTGACCGCTCGTTGTGAATCACTGCCGCCGCTTTTTCTGCCCCAATGCACATTATAATCACTATTATTTCACCCTGCCTGGAAAAAAGGCTCCAGCTCTGCGTGTGTGTGTGTGTGTGTGTGTCGCCCACAAAGGGTGTTGTGCTCACACTGACGCCTCAATTCTGCCACTGATAATGAAGCACGTTCACAATGAATTCATTTGACTCATTTGGTGCCGTCGAGTGACTTCCATTCTAACGATAGGAAGGAGACTTTGGTCTGAGCTGGTAATATATTTGGACCTGGTCAATGGTGACCGGAGCTTCCACACACTGTGCCACCTGCACATCGGTGACTGACATCCACACCATTCACACACACTCGGGGGGGGTTAAGCGCCTTGCCCAAGGACACACCGACGTGCAGATTAGCGGGGCAATCCTTCGATTGGAGGACGCCGCTGCTCTCCAACCGCCCAGCGCATCCACGTGAACAGGCCTCATTTAGGTTGGTGGTTATTGTCCCCGAGTTGGAATGAACGGACGTAAGGCTCGGAGGTCAACGGGAGCTCTGGGCGACTGGCTTTGTAATTGCTTTTCGTTGTTATTCATGTGTCACATTATCAGCGGTGAAAAACATTTGAAATCCATTTAATTTCAACACATTCGTTCTGTTCTCTTAATTCCACATTTTTTTTTGAGCTAGCAGATTTTACATTCGCCGACACGCACTGAGCTCTGTGATCGTTTGTTTACAGTCACCACAGATTTTGTATGACAACAGAGCTCCAATCCAGATTACCCCAAACCCCTCCCAGCCCCCCCTTTCCCCCCCCCACACACACACACGCACAACGGTCTTCCTCCTCCAATCTGCCATATTAAATCTCTGCTGTGTTTGTGTACCAGATGGTGTTTCTGTTTACCTGAATCTGAACCTCCAACAAAGGCCGTTTGGGCTGCGTTCACAAGCACGCGGACACCCACACACACACGTTGGTGCACTACAGTTCATTTTGACTTCCCCTGACTAGTCAGGGATTATTAACGACATTTCAGATGCTCTCACTTGCAGTTTTAATATCCAAATGAAGAGGTTTAGATAATCTGGATGAACTGGGTTAATGTTATTAGCACTCGGAAATGACGTTAAATAGTAATCCATCAGAATGTTTAACCACAGCTTGATGGCAAAAATTGAGCCGGGTTCAACTTTTTCACAACGTTGCCTAATGGGACACTGATCAGTGTTTTAAAATGAAACGACTACAATCAGTTTAAACAACTTTTATTTGATGACATGTTAGTCTGCAGCTCTGTGTGACCTGACGACTAACATCCGGATGGTCAGCATATTCTTTAGCATGTTTGCAAACATAGCTTAGCATGTTTACATGCTAACATGCACCGCGGTCATTAGTTTAGCAGGAAGAGGTGCCAAACGTTGGATTGTTTCAGCCTCTGAAGACGTGTTCATCTTTCCCTTGTTGCGTTTCTAGCCTGTGTGTCTGCCGGACAGATATCTGCGGCTTTGAAGCTACAAACTTGTCACGATGGATCCTCCCGCCGGGTTTAACGAGGGAAATCTCCTCGGTTCAGACGGTTTCAGTGACGCCGTCAGTTTTTCCGCTGGTCGAGTTGGCCACCAGCTGCACAGATTACAGAACTGTTGCCAAAACAGCAAAAGTATTCATGAGGAGCTTTTGGGAGTTAGATGATCGGGAGTCTGGTCTCACAAAACATGACCTTGGCTGACTCCCGGTTCACTCGCCCGGTGTCACGCGCAGAAAACCCCCGATGAAACCTCCCAGCTTTCGTTGGACCACGTTCCCTCTCCGGGCCGACAGCGCGCTGCTCCTCCGCGCTGCAGGAGCCAACTGCTGTTTCCCGGGAGGTGAATTCGCCTCAAAGGTCCTTTCATCGATTCCTCCTGTTACATCTGATTAAGTCATCCAGGAGAGAAGACTGGAGGATCCAGCTCATAATAATCTGTGAATAACACAACTGTGTTCGGTGTGTAGCTCCAGATAGCACCAGTATGGTGACGGTTTCAGCTTCACGGCTGCATTAATTGCAATAATTCTCGTGAAATAAAACACACGTAAGATGTACTAGTTTTCAGTTTTACGGATTGCTGATTCAATTTGTGCTTTTAAGGCACCTTAAAACCAGTCAGGCAATCCTCACGCGTGTGTGTGTGGTGTCGATAAATCATGAATCTGCATATAAAATAAAGATTTCACAAGCACCCACGCGCATGTGGAGCGAGGGCTACATGTGTAAGAGGAGCTAACGGAGCGAGGCTTTAACACTTGAAGGATTACAGACTCAGTTCCCACCGACACCAGCTGGTTCTTACATTTTTTCTTGCACCCTGGATATGTTTTGTCAGCTCTTATGAAATCCTCCAACAAACTGCACGCACGCCACTTCAAACAGGACGTACAGCCCGAGCACTGATTTGTGTTCATTTCTGTGGCTTAAAGAAACGGTTTGATGAACGTCTACAGAGATGATGTGACCGGTCGTGTGTGTTCATGTGGATCCGTGAGCGAGTGAGCGAGTGAGTGCTAAAGGACCTCTTGTGACTCACAAAGACACCTTTTATTTCCTGCTTGATGTTTCCATTGACTGCCTGCTCCTCACTCGCTGCTCCCGAGCGGTTTGGCAGGGAAGTGATGAACGAGTGAGGGCCTCTCCTCCCCTGTGACTTCGGCTAACTGCTGATGGAGCTGCCAGCACACACACTGCTGTAGCAACTTAGCCGAGGGGGGCAAACAGCTTGGTGAGTTTAATTTGGTTTTTTTTTGGCAAGATTATATGAGGGGTATTATGGTGCTTTGCACCAATAGCTTTTATACGTTCGTATTAAACGCTATGCACTTATCACGACCCGGCTGCAGCGCGCAGACAGAATGGTTGTTGGCGTGATTGTGCGACAAATCTTTGGGCCGATCGCCTGCTGACATCGCTGCATGTTTTCAAGCATCGAGTCTGACAGCTGAGAGCAAACAAGTGTCCCTGTCATCACGTTTCTCAAGATCTCAATTCTGCTTTTAAACAAACATTTATCTGCGGAACACGCGCGCGTGGTCACAATATCGAGTGTCGTCGAAGGGATTCGGAGGCCCGTTCGCTGCTTCGTGAACCGGGAACTCCGTGTCGAGGGATTCGTCAATAGTTTGCTGGAAACTGTGATGAGATGTGACAGCCTGTCGGTCAGCGTGAAGCAACGGCAGCGTTGTTTTTCAAGCGTGAGCCGGCGCCCCCGATCTCGACAGCCGTACCTTTGACCTCGTGCCGGGTCTTTGGTCGACCCCTGTCATCGCAGTTTTGGAGGTTGAGCGGTCCAAACGGCGGCCGCCGTCACCTGCTGGATTTCTGAGGACGCTTTCTATTCGGAAAATAACTTTCAACCCTGATTTTGTTTACTTTGCAGGTACCGATGCTGCTCTGTCAAATTGTGAATAGGCCGTGACAGATATGACCGCATAATCAGCGAGCTGCATCATATTTGCTTAAGGGCCTGGACATGATCCAGCTCGAGATGGTTCAAAGTTGAAACCCAACTGTTCTGGGAAGAGCAGGCGGGAGTCTCAGCGGCGGAAGGAGGACGGTGGAATGGACTTACTTCCTGTCAGAGCAGGTTAGGAGCGAGGCGGCCGTACTGTACCGCGATAACTCCCTCTGGAGAGTTACAGCGCAGGGAGGAGATGGATCCCAGTCCTCCACGCCGGCGATATTATTACAGCCGCAGCCGTTACACCGAGAGACGCCAGACTAAATCAGGCTGACTCGCCAGCAGCCACGGGGTCATGCACAGTTCAGGGCTAATAATAGCACCCAGCGCAAAGACGAGCCGCTGAACACACAAACACACACACACACATCGCTCCGCCAATACAACAAGTCTTTAAGCAACGCACAAAATACAAGCAGAAGAACATGCATACATGCAACACCCAGAAAGATGTACCACACACGCACACTACAGTAAAAGGAAACACGTACATACTCGTCATTGAGAGAAGGAGGAGGGGGAGATGAGCGCAGGAGGAGGAGGAGGAGGAAGGCCTGCTTGGCACCCATGTTGCCACGAGGCAGAAAGACAACAAAGCGTCCGTTACAAATCAAAACATTCCCTTGATTCATTCTGGGACGTCTTACTTTC